CTTTCCTTGGTCCTCACTGAGTTTGTTTAGAAGTACTAGACAGTACAACTGCAACAGTTTTTAGACTTGAGACCGTAACACCTTTGTTGGCGTTGTAGGTACTGACATTGTTGATATCTCCCTCAATTTTTCCTTGTTTTATAGCTAGCTCAATCATCTCACCAGCCATAACTAGATCTGAGAAAGTTCCCAATGTAATTACCACCAGGTGCCCGAAGTAAGGTGCCTTCAGGGTCTGTAAAAATAGCTTTTTAGTTTCATTTTCATCCAAGGGTGGATGAACTTAGACAGAAAAATCCCTCCAACGCTGTGCGTGTTGTCGGAAACTTTCATTGTGCTTCTTTTACAGGCTTTGTAGCATAACTCGGTCTGGTCTCATATCGTTGATATGCTTGTATTGTTCCAAGAAAGACTTGGCTAAGTCTTTCCATGTCTTGATATGAGTTCGGCTGAGCTGGTTGTACCACCGGATAGCTGAATTGGACATATTCTCCTGGAAGCAGTGGATCAGGAGTTGGTCATTCCCTACATATCCTGTCATCTTCTGACAGAACATAGTGATATGGGCTGAAGGGCAGCTGTTCCCGTCGAACTTCTCAAACTCAGGAACTTTAAACTTTGGTGGAAGCACCAAATCTGGAACCAGGCTCAGCTCCATTGCATCCACTCCATAATAATCATGGTCTCCTTGGACCATCTTCATTTGATCTTCTAACATCTTGATCTTCTTTTCCATGTTTTTTTCCTTATCCTCCTCGTCAAAATCCAGGACATGATAGTCTTCCGGATGAGTGTTGGTCGCGGAAGCTTGTATATTTGCACCAGATATAGCTTTCCCCTTGATAGCATATGAGTCCTCTTGTAATCCGGGTAAGATTTCAGGTGAGACAACCCCTTGTGGGGTAGGTGGTATAGTTACCCCTTCCGGTAAACCTACCCCAAGCGCACTGGTCTGTTGTAGGCCAACTAACTTGGCAACGATCTGATCAACCAAAGATTCTTGGTTCTTCATGATTGTATTCAGAGTACTCAGACTAATCTAGTTTATCTTATCTTCAAGTTCTTTCTGTAATTTTGCCATGTTTTCCTCGATTTGAGCCATTCTGGCCTCCATTTGTTTTTTTCTTTTTCAAGCGGGTGTTATGTGGATGAGGTGTGTCCAACGCTTGAGGCGGTGTATCCAGTATTTATTCCTTCATTGAGATATTCTTCCGTTAGTTGATGTGAATGCAAAGAAAATAACGAAATGCAGAATATGTCTAAATGCATGATACATGAAATATCCGAGGCATTGATCCAAAAATTGTGCCTGTTATTATGAATAATCCTCATTAAGGACAAAAGTGTTTTATCTATTAAGAGACAAAAATATTCTGACAGTTTTTGACATGTTGACTAGTCTTCTGTATTCGTATGTCACTGGTTGAATAACATGTCGAACCACTCCGGCTTCTCTTGATGGGTCGTGCCAATGTTGAGTTACTTTTTGCACTATCCCAAGAAGTCTTGAATGACTGCATCTCTAGCATCTATCTTTTGTTGAGCCTGTCCCCAAAGAATGCATCATTGGAGCCCTTGATTGATAGGAAATATGTAAAGTCATTAGTTTGTTCCATGAATTCGTCAGCAATGATCTCCAATTCCAGCTATCGTTTTGTAATTGTTATCTCTGAAGGGACTCCTAAGATTAGTAACCTTCATCTTACCCCTGCAACCTCTGACAGTCAATTTTTCCAAGATAGTCTTTCATTGTGCTTGATGCAGACCCGATTCATTCTGAGTCCTTTATAACGTAGCAAAGTGATATATTCCTCAATTGTGGGCACCACACCTTCAGGATTGAATATGACACATAGTCGCCTTGTAGACTGTCCTCTGCATTTTTATCTCTTGTATTACAACCCCTTTATCCATTAATTCATATTATTTATGTTTAACAAACATATTTTTGGTGGTTCAACACCTCTTTTAAATGATGCAGGTGATGAAAACAAAATAAAAGAGAACAAAAACAAAAAGAGTTAGTAAGGTAAATCAAAATAATAATAAAAATGAAAAATCCTACCCCACATGATATCTACCCCTCATGCTTATTATTCCTACCCATACATGATCTCTATCCCGTAAGTTGGTTTTGAACAAGTCCTAACCGCATAAATTTCTAGTTCACATGCTTTGAACAGAAAGTAAAGCAAGAAATAATTCTGGTATCCTAGGGTTTGAAATGAGGTCTTGGGGTGGGCCCTAACTCCTTGTAGTCTCCGGGTTTAGGTTCTGAAAAAAAGGTACCCAAGTTCTCCTTGCTGGTGCCCCCTTGGGCTTACCAGACCCTTAGTCCTAAACCCATCACAGGCTTGTGTGGACTAAGTTAAAATCGAGAGGACACATTCCCTTATGCCTATACGGAGAATAAATTCACACGAAGGCATAAGGTATATGAATCCCGAAGGTTACTTGCTAGGCCCATACGATGAATAAATTCACACGAAGGCGTCGCTTTCAGCCCCACTTAAAACGGGTTTGGAGCTCGGGTATAGAGCCTTTAGATGAAAAAAAGAAAACTTTGAAGGCTGAAATCATGAACAAAACAATTAGTCCAACTATTTACTAGAAAATAATGAAAAGTAAGTAAAAATGATCGAAATATTACCTTAAAATTTAAACTTACCCTTTTCGTTAAAAAGACAATTGGAAATTACCTTAGTCTGACTCACTTACCGTCCCCAGCAGAGTCGCCAAGCTGTCGCAACCGTCTTTCGGTTGTGCCCCGGAATTGGGCTTCGACGTCAAAAATGGATTGGGAGTCGCCACTGATCATTTACTTTACGAAAAGTGGGTTGATCAGATACCTTATTTCTTACATGATCTGCGTCTTACCAGTGATATGTCGGATCCGGGAGTCGGTTACGGTCAAGGAAGGATTAGCACCCTTGAACCGCCCTTTCGGTACTATGTAATTTCCAGTTGTCTTTAATTAAGAAAGTTGAAAGTTTAAATTGAAAGGTAAAATAACGATCCAAAACTTACATTTGATTGATTGAAAATGTACCCTTTTATTTCCTTTTCGAATCCTTTACAATAGTTTTGCCTTTGTATCTTCCCGTGCTTTCCTCTATGTTTTGTGTGTAAATCGTGTGTTACAATGGTGAGTTACAATGGCTATTTATAGTGCTTGTGGATCCTATCTTTAGGAATTTAAATCTTAGTAGAACTCTATCCTATTTTTAGGAGTTTGAATCCTAGCAAAATTTTATCCTATTTTTAGGAGTTTGAATCCTAGTAGGACGAAAATGTGTGTTTAAAATTTTGTTTATGCATGCATGAGTTTTTAATCTTAAATAATTATGTTTTATCTCATGTACATTGAAAAATGTTTTATGATGAACAATCTAAAATTTTCAATAATTTTTCATAACTTCAGTTCATCATAATAATTTTTTGTCAAAATTGTTTTTAAATGTAAATGATATCTCTCTAACAATTAATATCAATTTTTAAAATACTTTGTTTTTAAAAAAATTTGACCATAAACTTTTTAATGTTTATGCATAGAATTTAAATTTTTAATGATATCTCTCTAACAATTGATATAAACTTTTAATGCATAGCATCTTTAAAACTTTATGCATATGCACTTAATCTCAATAATCGAAATTGCATAATGTTTTATATGTGAATGGGTTAAAGCATAATCTATTGAGTATTAGTCAATTATGTGATAAATGATACAATGTCTTATTTGAAACGAATGGTTGTAAAATTATTGACATTGCATCTAATCGGATTATGCTTATTGGTCATAGAATAGGAAACATTTACATGATGCATTAGATTCATTAAATATGACTAATTTATGCCTAGTTGCTAAGGATGAACATGATAGTTGGTTATGACATAGGAGACTAGGACACACTAGCATGAGTGTTTTACAAAGACTAATTCAAGAAGATTTAGTAAGAGGGTTGCCAAAACTAAAATTTGATCAAGATAAAATTCAAATGGGATTAGCCATAATTTTTCATCACCTAGAATCCCTCAACAAAATGGAGTTCTTGAGAGGAAAAATTGAACTTTAGAAGAAATGGCTAGAACCATGCTTTGTGAAAATAATTTACCAAAATATTTTTGGGTGGAAGCCACAAATTCCGCTTGTTATGTTATAAATTGAAGAATTTTTCTAGGTTATTCCTTAAATTCTAAAGCTTATTGGGTATTTAATAAAATAACTTTAGTGGTAGAAGAGTCTATACATGTTGTTTTCGATGATAATCCCTTTCCAAGGAAGGATTCTTGTGTTGACGATGACGTAGGTATTGTAAATACACATGACGTTGGCCATGACGTTGGAGAACCATCATCAAAGGAATAAATGAAATATGAGGAAACTCATGATGCTCTCGAGAATCCAACCATTGAATAAAGAGAAGTCTCTTACCCAAGAGAATACAACTATGTCAAGGATGGTGAAATTATAAGTGATCCATCCAAAGGGGTAACAACTCGATCTTCTCTTAGAAATATACGTAATTATGTTGCATTTATCTCATGCATAAAGCCTAAGAATATTCAAGAAGCATTAAATGATGAAAATTTGATTATGGCTATGCAAGAAGAGTTAAATCAATTTGAGAGAAGTAAAGTATGGACATTAGTTGAAAAGCCTAGTAATAAATCTACTGTAGGTACTAAATGGGTATTTAGGAACAAACTTGATGAAAGTGGTAATATAGTGAGGAACAAGGCTAGACTTGTTACTCAAGGCTATACTCAAGAAGAGGGCATAAATTATGATGAAACATATGCACTCGTAGCTAGGATGGAAGCAATTAGAATGTTATTAGTATTTGCCTGTTTCAATGCATTTAAATTATATCTAACGGATATTAAAAGTGCATTTTTAAATGGTTTTATAAACAAAGAAGTGTATATGTGGAACAACCTCCTGGTTTTCAAGATTCAAAATTTCAAGATCATGTTTTTAAATTGACAAAAGCTTTATATGGTTTAAAACAAGCTCCTAGAGCTTGGTATGAAAGATTGTCAATTTTTTAATAGAAAAAGGTTTTTCAAAAGCAAAGGTTGACACTACATTGTTTTTAAAGTGTAAAGGTAAAGATTTATTAGTAGTTCAAATTTATGTTGTTGATATAATATTTCGTTTTACTAATTATTCTCTTTGCCAAGAATTTTCTAAGCTAATATAGAGAGAATTCGAGATAAGAATGATGGGGGAACTCTTATTTTTCTTGGGACTCCAAATCAAGCAAAGAAAAGATGGCATCATCATCAATCAAGTAAAATACGTAAAGGATATGCTCAAAAAGTTTGGATTGGAAAATGAAAAACCCTAAGCCACTCCAATGAGCTCATCTACAAAGCTTGAAAAAGATGAAGGAGGTAAATGTGTAGATGTTAAACTTTATAGGTCTATGATTGGCTCTTTGCTTTATCTAACCGCAAGTAGATCGGACATTATATTTAGTGTTTGATTATGTGCTAGATTTCAATCATGCCCTAAAGAATCACATCTAAATGCCATTAAGAGAATCTTTAGATACCTTAAGGACACTCCAAGTTTAGGACTTTGGTATCCTAGAGACTCTAGCTTTAGCTTGCGTGCTTTCTCTGATGCGGATTATGGAGGATGCAAAATAGATAGGAAAACACCTTCAGTACATGTCAATTCCTAGGAAATATGTTGATTTCTTGGTTTTTAAAGAAACAAAATAGTGGTACATTATCTACCACTGAAGCAGAATACATTTTAGCGGGTAGTTGTTGCGCAAAAGTTTTATGGATGAAACAAAAAACTTTTTGATTATGGAATTTAAGTTGGTACCATACCTATCAAGTGTGACAATACTAGTTCTATTTGTCTCACTAAAAATCCCATCCAATACTCTAGAACTAAGCACATTGAAATTAGAAATCATTTCATTAGAGATCATGTCACTAAAGGAGATGTAGTTCTAGAATTTGTTGATACTTTGCATCAAATAGCTGGCATTTTTAAAAAATATTTAGATAAAGAAAGATTTTGTACACTTAGGAGAGAATTAGGTTTAACTGGCATATCTTCACTTAGTGTTTAAAATAATTTTAGCACTTTTAATTAGAAATGAAAAATGCTTATAAAAATAACATTTTTGAATGCATTTTATGCTAATAGTTAGGGGGATTTTATGATCTTTAGTGAAAATTAATTATATGTTCAAATAAAATTTAAAGATAGATTTGATTGATTGAATATAGTTAATTTTCAAAATATGAGTTGCCAATACCACCAGAGCTGATTAATTTAGCATTCTAAGTGTTTAAAACAAATTTTGACATTTTTGTGCAAAGTGTATCGATACCTAGGTATCGATACCCCCTCGCCATGTATTGATACACTATGAATATGTACCGATACATTCCTTGAATGTGTATCGATACACTCATAAATTTACCGATACACCCATCGGGTTTTTGGCTTTAAATTCCTAAAATATCATATTTTGCCAATACCCCTAAACAAAAACACTCTTCACGCCATTTGCTCTCTACTCACCTAAATCTCCACTTTGCTTCACATCAACAAATACAAGTCGGAATCCTTTCAGTCTTCAACTCATAATCCTGCTATACTCATCAAATTTGTGCAAATATCACTACATTCTACTCAATCCCAATTTTTCAAGGTAATTTTTATAAAACCACAATTTTATTCATTTTTAAACTTAAGGATAGTTTTAATTAGTTCTAAGTTGAATTAGATATCGGGCATTTATTAGATTGTAGTCTAGAACTATAATCTGCAACAAATTTCATCAAAACACAATATTTTTCAAAAAAATTCAAAATTTTTGAAATAAAAAATGTTTTAATTTTAAAATTGTTGTTTTTTATTTAATTATGTTGTTTTCATGAAAACTATAAGTATTATGATTTTTCAAACATTGTTTTCAAAAATAGTTTTCAAACTTGCCCATTAGGATTAATTTTAGAGAACCTTGAATATTGAGGACTCATATTGAGTTTTGGGATTGATTGTGATGCATACATGTATTTTCAAATTGCAGATATCCTTATCCATTCCGTTTAAAAACCATGTCTCATTCCAAATGCCCTAGGTCATCATCTAGTCGGTCAAACCAACCTCAAAATTGACCTCCTATTTCACCTCAAAATCCAAACCCAAACATTCTCGATATGACTATCCTTAATTCTTGCTTTAACCAACCTGGTTGTTGAGAAGATCTTTACCATAGGTTTGTTAACTTATTCGATTCATATAGAATCCGGGAAGTGCGTATCCCCTCAATCCAAGCCATGATCAATATGAATTTTTAATATCTTCCTACCCTCCGATCATGGAAATTTGATAAACTCTTTCAGCTCAAACCTATCATTTATCACCAACTAGTCCGCATTTTCTATTCCAATGCGGTTTGTGTCCAAAACGAGCCTCAAACTGCCATCGAAGGTATTTGATCCTATCTCTTAGGTCAATACGTTTATATTGACTCTGATACAATCGCTAACATCTTTGGTTTAGATAATGAGGGTTTAGATAACGAAAAAGAAATTGTGGCTACCCGTTATAGAGCTAAGGCTAGTGCGAGTACCTTGTTAACTCATCACGAGCGTTTTCTTCATTTGATGATCTCTTGGTGGTTTAGACCATCTGAAGGTAGATACTCCACCCTTAGAGCTTTAGATTTATTGTGGATACATTGTATCCAACATAATAAGAAAATAAATTTGCCACAAATCATTTTTGGTGAGCTAGTTGAAACCGTAAACAATGTTCCCTCCAAATACATAGAAACCTTAGTTTACAGTTATCTTCTTAGTAATTTATTTATCAAATCCAATCTTAGGGTCCAGCTTGATGTATTCATCCCTCTTAAGAACCCAATAAATCTCACAACCTTGAAAAGTTGGGATGATCCGGGGAAAAAGATCTATGGGTTCGATCTACCCAGAAAACACCGGGTGCTAATTCCTCACGAGCTGCACCGAAGCCGACTACTGATGATGATCCAGAGCTTGAAGAACTTATGTGAGATATCGATGATCACGTGCCCGAGGATGAGCCGGTCCAGCAAGAGGGTCAAATGCCTCTATACTTTCGATCGTTTTTGGAGACATTTGACATGCGGTTTGCATCCATAGAGTCCCACTTAACCGCTATGAGGGCTCAACAATTATAGATTCAACAGGAGATACGTGCTAACAAAGAAGCTATTAACGAAAGACTACATGTGCTTTCACTCGATATGGCTGCTATACGATCACATTTTCATTCTCCCGATCCTCCTATGGATGATTAGACCTTTTTTTGCTTAGTTTTCTTGGTTGTTGAACTTAGAACTTATTGTTAAAACATTTTGAATGTTTTGGATTTGTGTATTGGATGTTTGGATATATTTGTTTGAATGGTTTGAATATTTAATTTGAACTTCATGTTTATATTGACTTCAGTAATTTTTGCCTCATTTACAACTTAGTTGAATATGACCAATTTCCATTACACATTTATGAATATTGTTTATGGACTAATGGCTAACAATTCTCTTGATTGTCATCTTAGTAGCTTCAGCTATATCTTTTTAAATCAAATGGATATTTTATTTAAAACCTTGTTTAAATTTTTCATAGAGTCTTTTTGATTTAACAAAAAGGGGGAGAATAAAGTAAGAGGGAGTAATTTTTCTAAATTGAATTCAAAAATGATTTTCAAAGAAAATCTTAAAATTACTAAAATGTTTTGTTATATCAAAAAGGGAGAGATTTTTTAAAACATTTTGATTTTTCAATATAACAAATAAAGTACTATTGAATTTTAAGATTTTATATTTGGTTCAAAATTATATATTCGGTTAAATTATTCGAATATCCAAAATATTACTCCAAGTTTTCAAATGTCAATTTTAAACCTTATTTAAGTGTAAAATTGTGTTTTAATCTTAAAATATTTTTGAAACAATTTTTACAAAGTATTTCAAACCATAATTGGGCCAAAAATAATTTTTACAAAGGGATGTACCGATACACTCCTATATGTACCGATACACCCCATATTTTGAATGCAATTAGTGTACCGGTACACAACCAATGTATCGATACACTCCTAGCTCCGAGAAATATCAAATGTAATTAGTGTACCGATACACCTGGGATGTACCGATACACTAGGTCAACTAACTGTCGAAATATTTGAATTTTACACTGAGTCTATCGATACACCTACGCTCCCAACAGATTTTTTAAATGGAAAACATACAATAACGGCTCTATTGACTTCACCAATGATCCCCAACGTTCAGAAATGATCCAAGGTGTATTTAAACAAGCTCAGGAGCCATTGATCAATAATAAGAAACAAGAATCAAGAGATAATCAAAGAGAAAGCATCAAACCTCAAGTTTGAGCACCCAAGAAACCGAAGTTGGCCCATTAAGGTTTATTTTTATTTGGTTGGGGCCACCCACTAAGAGCGCATGCTTAAGCATTTCAAGCCTATTTTCAATCAATATTCATTTTGCTTTCAAGAACACCATTAGTACTCAATTGTATTCATTCTCGAGTGTTCTTTCTTTGTTATAGAATTGAGCAAACATCTTGCCTTGAGAGGTTTTTCTGTAAGTTTGCAAAATTTGTAAGTTTCTCTTTGGGAGAAATTGTTCTCAAGAATTTGGGGTATAATTCTTGAGGGAGTTGTAAGGTTACTCTTTGTCCTCAAAATAAAGACAAATTAGTGAATTTTTGGAATATCCATAGAGTGGATAGCTAAGGTAGTGGACGTAGACTTTGGTTGAGAAAGTCAAACCACTCTAAATCGCTGTGCAAATATTTTCAATTTTCTGCAAAAGCTTCCACCAAAATTTTTATTACCAATTCACCCCCTCTTGGCTTATTCATCGATCGACTAACTCAACAATACACTTAGTATGAATTTCTTATCATGTTAGCACACGAAGTGCCTTTTTGGTAATCACCATATGTAACACCCATCTCCTGTAGACCCTTCCGTACACGAAATATGGATGTCACATCACTTTAAAAATAATGTTTGTCATTTAAAAACCTGTAAAAGTTTGTTTCAATTCAAATAACAACAAAATAGGATATTTTGTGAAAGCAACATACAAAAATCTTCACTTAATTACATTAAAAAATGTTTACCATAGTTTAATTACATGCCAACTAAGTTCTTAAATTGAATAAGATTGTCCTACCGTTACTGATGAGAGTCATCCTTATCTCATGATACCTCTTGCTACTGCTGCACTCCTTACTCAATTTATCTTCATTTATTACATACGCGTGGAAACAACACACATTAAGTATTTACTTAGTGATACAATAATATTATAAAGTAACCTTTTTGGTATATATTTAAGTATGTCCTTGTTATTTATTTTGTACTAAATCGTATATTCTTTAAGGATTCTATGATCCTCCTCATTTAAATTGTATTTCATTCACAATTATCTTAAGTATTTTAGTATGCCTAGCATACCTATCTTTATTTATATTTTATTCAATCATTTATCTCTTTAGACTTAAACATTTATTTATTTATTTATTGATAGCATCCCAACATGCTTATAATACACTCTTATACCATTTCCATTATGGTATTCTTCCATGCTTTTATACACTATTATACATTTCATTTATGGCATCTTTTCATGCCTT